TGAAATGTCATACATTAAGAAACACCGAAATAAAAAGGTTTGGAAATATTTCTATGTTTTCGGAAGAAACTCACCTAGTAGGATTTCTGAGCACGCTATGATGGATTATTGTAATTATTGGAAATGATAATATTTTAATGTGACTTTCTTCCCACCTGTCAGTAGCAATCAAGGCTGCCCAGTATTCTGAAACAGTCTCATTTTGCTAGGTGGCTAGTCTTGTGCAGCCTCTAGAATGCTTAGAATATTAATGCATAGAGAGGAGATTGAATGCTTTCTATAGTTCCATTATGACAATGTGTTTTTCTTGTTTTAATCAGAAGGCATGCAAAACCAAACTGAAATGATTTCTAATAAATTAATGCCAGTGAGTGCTTAAGAGAAGGGACCTCTTTTGGGGGATAGCGCATCAAAACCATAGAATTTGGCATTTCTTTCTCCTCTTCATACTTGGCAATGTATTTTAATTTTTGCTTAATTTAATTTCTTTCTTGGGTGCTTTATTCTGAAGTGCTTTGAATTTATATGAACGAAGACAATCTGACATTAAGGTGAGGGTTGGTCTAATTTATAGTAGGCTGCCATGGTAGGAAGTTATTGATTGAGACAACATATGTTGGAAGACACATATATTTGACTTAATATTTGGTCCTTACCATTTCTTGCATGCTGTCATAGTATTGCTTATTTTGATCTTCTTTCCTCTGAATTCATACATATGTGTGTGTGTGTGTATATATATATATTTTTTTTCCCCCCTTCAAGCGTTCTTTGTTCACTTCTAGCTCTTATTCCAGTGGCTATGGATAGGTTTCAGGGATTTCTTTAACCACCTGAAATTGTAGCAATATTTTTCTCATAAATTCATTTATCTGGGGAGTAAGTACTTCTCAAACTGCTTCTTAACCATCCAGCTCTTTATCGTCATTTTATTCAGTAATCATGCTACCAGTATATAAGGTGGGACTACTTAATTTTGAACATCCGTTTGCCTTTGCCAAGTGCATATCATAGAAACAACCACCAAGTGAAAGATTCTCCCACAGTTAGGTGCAGCTTTTGTAATACAGCTCTTGGGACTGGCTAAATGAAAGGCTTGTACCATGCACTGGATGGCCATCTGTCTTGTCAGGTGTTGTGAATCTTTTTAGCTTTAGCTTTAGCTTTAGAGGGCAAAGGTAGCTGTGGTCCATTCAAATGGTTCCCAAGTACCCAGATATCTCCTCTTCTGAAAATGGAAGTATTACTTTGTGCCCACCAGAATCTCCCAGTAATCTCTATTCTTCATCGAGTATAAAATGTAGAAGGATGCCTACTCATTCTGAGAGACGATTAACAGCCTTATGGGCCTGACATATAGCACCATTGTATTCATAGCTTTAGGATGTACAGCTAATTATTAGCATTTTAAAATGAGATAAATGTTTATATTTATACACATCAAGACTATTAATTTTGGCACTGTGTTTGAATATCTATAAATCAGAGGCAGTTGAAGAGCTGAAATTTAGATTTCCTTACACTTGCCTGCCAAGTGGCCTCAATCAGAAGTAATTTTCTCCATGAGGGCACATGGAGCTCAGTCGTGAGCCTTTTCTGAGTAGATATTATTATTTGTGTCAAATTATGTGTGGTGATTTTTCTGAAGTGGACTTCTGTGCCCACTAATCCATACACACGAGGTTCCCTCATTCCCTCCTTCATTGGTGCTATTAATTGTACTTGTGCTTCAAGGGTCTCTTACCCTTTTAAAATGTTAGTTTATGGCCACCGATTATCTGTAAGGTTTTCCTGTTAAAGAAACATGCAATAGAGAGAGTAGAGTGAGATCTGATCTTAAACTGTAAATACCACTGTGCATTTTAAGAGGAACCTTTTTTTTTGACAGAGCCTGATTTGATAGGGTGGTGAAAGGAATAGGTAGTAATCTCACCTTTTAAAGTATAGCAAATTATATAAATCTGACACTTGCTTTGGGAGAAATACAGGTTGGTCATTCAATCACCTGTGGCCTGTTCTAAATATTGGCAATGAGATTGCATGTATTTTGAACAGTGAGCTCAAGAATTTTTCACCTTTCATTTGGGTTTTGTAGTTTGGCTTTGAAAATAATTGCTTCTTCTCAATTATATGCTTGAAATTGCAAACTGATAGCCAGCATATAAAATAAAAGAGGCCCTGGAATATAGAATATTATATTATCAATTAAGATCTTATCATAATCTTTGAGAAATAAAATATAATATAAATATATAACTATAACATGGATGGCTTGGTTAGAGGTTTATTAAGCACAGTTAGTGGTTTTGTTTCCTTTCAAATTTTCACATGAGCTTTTCCATTTAATTTTTATTAAAACTATTAAGTCTGAATTTGATATACCATAAGAGCCAATTTGTTGTCATTGAATATTTTAAATAATTGTTCAGTTACATACTATCTTGAATAAAAATCCTAAGAATGTTAGCATGTATGCTCCAAATTTAATTTTTTTAAAAAAGAAAACATTTTTGTTACTATTGATTTTATTCTTACAATATGCATGAATTATCTTTATAATATATAGGCTTTTATGATTGAAGAGCATCCAGAGATGAAAAAAAAAGGAAATTCACTAAAATATATGTGAATTATTTAAAATATTTATTTTACAACTGGAGAGTTATTTTTTGTTAGCAAAACTCAGAGTATATATTCCAGAAAAAGTATATATTGTCATTTCTGTTATAACTGATATTAAGGCAGTTTTTTTTTTTTTTGCAGACTGATTTAGTATGGATATAAATTATGTAAATAATTAAATATTAGTAACCAACTATTTTAGTTTTGGTAAAAACTGCAAGAAGATCTTCCTGATTTTTCTGGGGAGGGGATCTAATATTTTGTAACATATATTCTCAGTAATCCTAGAAGAGCAACAAGAGGTTTCTCAATTTTTAAAGACATAAACTTTAAGCATCTATACATAAATAGGTTAATATGAATTAAGCATTTCAGAAGATATTTGTGTTTTATAGATTTATTTATGAACGAATGTGTCTGTAACTACCAAAGAATATTTTGCATAGTAGTATGGTATATTAATAAAAGATACTTAAAAATCTTGGGTTTTTGCATCAATTTTTTTCACTTATTAGAGTGTAACCTTATTCTGCTTAACTAACTTCCAGAGCTTTACTTTCCACATCTACAAAATAAAAATAGTATTAATTCTCATACCTACTTTGTTGGGTTATTTTAAAGATAACATAAGAAAGTGCTTTGAAACCTTACTTGAAACACAAATCAGACAGCTTCACATGTCTTATTTTGACCAGAATTGTTATTACAATTAAGTTGTTTGAAAAAAATACAGAAAATATTCTATTATATTCTTCATTAGACTCGGAATTAATAATTAGAATTATCAGATAAGTGTTCTAATGATTATATTATTTTACATTATTATATTTATGTATTCCTTGCATACTTTCTACTTGACATAATTGTTTTAAGAGTTAAAAAATTATACTTTTAAACTAAGAGATAAAAACTAATGAGATCTGTGACTTTTCAATGTAAAAATCATCATTTTTGTGCAAAATCCATGTTGGTTTTTTTTTTCCTCTCCGCCTTGAGTATAAAAAAGCATATTACCAGAGTGTTTGGAATTAAGGCATTCTTTTTTCCTTAACATTTGTGATTTTCAGGAAAAAGAGAAATAACAAATTGTAAAAAGGACAAGGAAACTCTGTAAGAAGTTTTTTTGCTTGGATGTCTCTTAATTTAAATCCATGCAATTAATTTTGTCCATGAAAATGTGTTATATGAATTCTGCCCTTTTGGAAACTTGCTTTTGGGAAAACACCAGATACACTACTGTGCTGTATGTACCTATTCCTGTTTGCTCCCACATATATAAAAATTGTAACATGTGCACTATTTTAAATTATTTATAAGATTTCTTCTTTGGCCCTGAAAATTTCTCGGCACATTTCTAAGAAGGAAGAGGGAGACTGCCAAAGCCTTTTAAGTAGTTAACCTGTGTGATGAGTCTGTGGATGTGAGTGACAATTAGTACAAATTACCATAATTGTGGTCTTTGGATAAAATGCCACATTGCTTCTTTTAGGAACAAATGCAGGCTTCTACTTAGTAAAATGAGTCAGATACTTTGCTTCTCTGGGGCGGTCAGAGATTCGCAACCAGCCATGTGGTATCCGCACGTAGTCCACTTTAGACCCATCTGAACAACTCCAGCCCTCCCTTTCCTTTCAATAAAATAGGTCCATTAATGTAGTGCACTTCACTCTCATTCACTCTAAGGGAGTTGTATTTTTATTACTGAAAAAGTATCACATAAATACAAATTACATTTTTTCATTAGAAAACTACTTTTCATTTCAGAAAAAATTCAATTAATTATGAATAGGGTTATGCTTTCATCAGGGAGAGAAATGTGTAATTTTTCTTCAAGCCTCAAACACATATAATGAAATCTTTTCTTGGAATCCACTCTTAAGATGGATTTTTAAAAGTATAGACTTTATTAAAATCTCAGTTCAATTAAAATGCATTCAATTACTTTAAATCTTTATTAAAATCTCAGGTAAAATTGTACAACGATGTAAAAGAGACTTGTACTCTTTACCAGGTAGTTAATTCTAACAAATGAACATAAAGTGCACAGTTTTGCTCTTCGGGAGAGAATTTAAAAAAATGAAGAAGAAGCAGAAGCAGCTTTGGGTTTGGAATTGGGGGTGGGGAAGGGTTGAAGATGGAGGTTGCTTTCTGTGTAGTAACCTCAGGCACTGGTTTCCTTCCACTTCTCATTATAGGTCATTGTTTCTTGTGACTATGAAGGTGGCATTATCTTGTGTGAGTCCCCTTGCTGATACTGCTTGGCCTATTTATAGAATACATTTTTTCTCACCACTTTAATCAAAAGACCCTATTAAAGGATTTTATTTCACTATCTTCTTTGGATGTTTTTGGTACAGTGTCCCTGATTCTTTTTCAAGGGCCTCTAGAAGATGCCATTGAAGAGGAAGAGGAAGAGTGTCCATCAGAGGAAACAGACATCGTCTCAAAAGGGGACTTTCCATTGGAGGAAAGCTTTTCTACAGAATTTGGGCCTGAAAATCTGAGCTGTGAAGAAGTGGAATACTTTTGTAACAAAGGTAATCATTAATGGCTGGACGCTACCTGTGAGTCCGTTTACTCAGATGATTTTGTAAAGTTTAAAAAAATGCACTGATAGAGTGCAGTGAAAATGCTCAAAGTGCTGATAACGTAAATCAAGAGTCTGAAAATACCTGCAGAATTTTTTAAACACAAGATGCTACTTTGAGGGTTAAAAGAAGTAATTCCATTTTAATAAGTCATTTTGAATATTTAAAAAATAGTTTCATGTTGACTGGCCAATTCTAATATATTTTATGTTTATCCTGTATTCATTTATTCTTTTGCAAGTATTTATTGAATGTCAGTTGTTTGCAAGGCACTGAGTATAAGCACTGAATAGGGCAGATAGTCCCAGCCCCAAAGTTCTGGCTCACTCCTTTTAAAAACTAAATGTTTAAGGGGCACCTGCCTGGCTTAGTCAGTAGAACACGTGACTCTTGATCTTGGGTTTGTGAGTTTGAGCCCCATGGTGGGCTTAGAGTTTACTTAATAAAAAACAAATAAAAAAAAACCCAAAAAACTGAATGCTTTGGGTGTTTGACATTGACTTTCAAAACTGAAGATGGTACTTTTTAAGATATTGTCAAATAAGAAAATACACATTATTTTCCCATCCTAGATACTCTTTTAACACATTAACATTATTCTGGAAGAAATACCTGAGACAACGTATCTCAGTTTATTTCTACCCTCGACTTGGAGCCAGGTGGCCTTGCCAGTAACTGTGTCTTCAGTGGGCATGTGTACTCATTTGCTTGCTTTTTTCAAAAGTGTTTTTAAGGTTTCTCATGATTAAAAAAAATTTTTTTTCTTACTTAATTTCTTGGCTTTGCAAATGAGATGGGTCTTCTGTCGCTTCCTGCACCAACATAAGTTGGTTTCATAAGTGTTTGGGTCACTTCGTTGGTTCAGAACAGCTGCTTTTGCTGAGTTTACTATGACTTTGTCATAGAGGGCATGACTGTATGCCTATCTGTATATGTGTGTGTTTGTGTTATGTACCATTTTTATTTGGACATCTGTATTTCTTAGGCAGAGAAGTTATGTGAAACCAAGTTTTTTAATGTGGGTAAGTTTGTTGATCAGACTTGACAGTGTGAAATTAAGAATGATGATATAGGTTCCCCAAAAACCACCAATACGCTTATCTCAGGGGCCACATATACATTTGATGTACATTGGTAAAATTCCAGTATGACTTTCTCCTGTTGCTAGTGTGTTAGACACAAAAGAGGTCAGCCACTTCTCATCCCTGTGGTCAGTAGAATCCGAAAAACTGTGGAAATGGAATGGCGGCACTAGCCCCTGGCTGCCCTGAAGTTGAGAAAATCTCCTTGACCATTAACTCTTGAAGACCTCAAGATGACTTTGTAATTTGGCCCTTGTCTCCCACGTTGAGGCTTTCAGTTGAAAATGAGAATGGTATGGACTGAGTAGTCTTTCTTTGGTAGTGTTGACTTAGACTTCAGGCCAAATTAATGTTTTCTGTAGTTGTTCTGGGTGCTAGAACCATTTCTTGATTATAACAGCCACAGCAATACATGGAAAGCTGGCTGGAAATGAGGAGTGTTTAAGTCTGTATTTGAAGAGATTTCGTGGTCCCTCTTTGTCAGGAAATATATTTTTAAATGCATTGTAGAGAACCTGCCTTATGTTACGGGATTACAATAAATAGAAGAACCAAGAGTTAGCATGTACCACATATTCTTCTTGTTCTTGTAAAAAGAGTTAGTATGTGGACTCAGACATTTTTGTCAATTTAATTAATCCAGAGAAGCAGTAGTGATAGGTATTACTAGATTACATTCTGGGATGATCATTGATTAAGGGCTATCCTTAACAAAAGAGTATAGAACTATAAGCTTTAAGCTAGTAGTATCTTAGAAAATATATATAATCAAATATATCATTAAAATACAAATTAATGTAAAATTATAAATAAATACTCAATGTATTACATGTTATAAAAATAACTTTCTAATGTTTAGTTTGAAATTAGAGAGTAATGATAGGTGGAAATAAGAATTTTCATTTTCACATAATATTTTGCAGGATAAATATGACTGGAACTATTGCAAACTGCTGTTGTCTTATTTAAAAGGAAAAAATGTGAGACCAGGAGATTTTCACTGAAGTCAGTAGGAACGCGAAAAAGAGAGCCATCTCTTTGACAGATATCGCATCCCCTTGAGGTCATAGTAGAGATTCCATCCATTTTTCACTTAAGTTGATTAGCAGCAATCGGAAGAGAACATTTTCTCTCTGGAAAATTAGAAACTAATCTTTCTGTAGAAATTCACATATTGGTCTCAGTGACACACAATTATGTTTTCTTCACAGTTGCAGGGAAGAAGATAGGTTTAGAATTAAAAGAGTGTAAGTATTTAAATGGTTAATGATGCCACCATCATGATGAAGGAGCATATAAGAACTGTTCTGAAGAAAAATATTTTCAGCTTGGGCTCACTGATGAAGCATATTTTTTGCACATATTTTAATGTCCTTTACAACAACATAAAAAGTTGTGTGTGTGTGAAAATGAATTGGATTCTTTGGAAAATTTCTTCAGCTAAAGATCTAGCCATAATTAAGATCTAGCAAGGACATGGTTTCTTTAATGAGTTTCAGGGATAACACTTTTGAACATCAAATGCTTTCTTTTGTATTAAAAAAAGGATAGTAGTTTAAAAACTCAGATCACAAAAACATGGTTAAAATACTTAAGTGTTCCAAACAAGGTATTTGGACAGTCGGTGGAGGATACTGAGGATACACATATAGTTACAGTCTATCTTCATTTGTACCTTAGCAACTGTGTTGTGTATAAAAGCAATCACATGCCATTGTGACTTTCCTTTTTATTTAAAAAAGTAAGGAAAAATGCTCTGCTTTTTGTACATCTATGAAGACATAGCTTTTCATAAGTAAAAGTTCCTACTTCCTTTTGAAATTGAGCTGCATTATACAGGATATTTTCAGTATTTAAAATGATTCTGCTCTTATTGTTGTGGTGTTTTCCTCAGTTCCATGTGGATATTGTCTATTTCCTTGTTGTCAAAGGGCAGGCCTTTTTACAAGTCTTGAAGCATTTATTAATATTATTGCTAGTCATTATAAGACATGTGATTAAATATGACCCAAATCACTCTCATAATGTAATATTCCACAGAAATGTCAAAATGTTGGTCAGAATTTTATGTCAACATTAAATGTGTAAAATTCTTAATCATATGAATCTAAGTCATAAATATTCATAATTAAAAGTAGAAAAGATCACCTTTAATAAACCCTTGTTAGAGTTGCACGCCTAAAATTGGAGACTGACAATTCTGTTGAAGTTTCTTTTGTCGCTTTTTACTTTGTGTTAGTTGCATATTTCATGTCTCTATTTTTCATTTTTCAAATGAAGAAATGAACTCTGCTTATTAAAAGATGCTCTTCTCCAAGTTGCTTGCTATCCTTAGATTTTAGGAATTTCAGCAAAATATAAAGCGATCCTTACAATTTGCATCATCCTCTTTTGTGCAATGAGTTTAGATCATTTGGCATCTTGGCTTAACAATATCACTGAGAGGAAGGAAACAAGCAAGAATTATTTCCTTGAATTTACAGATGACGAAGACATCAAGGCTGAGTCCGTAAGTGCTACACATTTCCTGTGGCACTGGGTTATATGCTTCAGTGATTTGTTTTCTGCCTTTCTTCTGGTTTATATAGTAAACATGGAAGTACATCAATGCATGTTTAGAACTAAGCAAACTAATATAAATTGAAACATAGGTGGTCTGGAGAGCAACTGGAGGAGTTTTTAGTATGTTACTGTTGTCAGGTGGGAGCTCTTCGAGATTAGCGATTCTTGGATAAAAACTCAGAGACAGTAAGTTTCATGGTGGGGTTGACATGGAGCGGTTCTAAAACTGGTCTACTGTTACTAATTATTTGCAGGAAGAGTTCACTCATTGAAATACCCAAGTTTGTTAATGACTGAAATTAAATAAATAGGTCTTGGGATACATTCCAAGAGAATGTCACAGGATATGTGAACAGGAAGAGAAGTGTCAGGTCACTATTACTGTAGGCTAGGAGAACGTACTGTCATTAACAAAAGAAGATGCCAAAGAAACTATGTCAGTGAGCTTTGAATTATTAATGACTATCTAGAGAAGGTAGTGAGGGTCCCTACAAAGTGTTTCCTGGTGACATCATCTCTAAACAAAGGCTGAAAGGGAAAAGGATGCCATCAAAGTTGATTTTGGAAGAGAAAAAAATCTTACTTAGAATCATAGGATCTATGTATGGAGAATGGTCAGAGAAATCACTGGGTGAAGTGCTTAGCCTAGACAGATGAATTAAATATTAGACGTTTCAATCTGGAAAGATTAAGGTTGAAAAAAGGGGGCATAATGGAAATCTATAAAATAAGGTCACTGATACAGTGTAACAATGGACATTCTTAACACATTCAAAAATATTTGACATAGTTTGTTTGCAGAAATTAAAGGTTATAAAATAGAAAAATGCATAGCATATTAAAGAAAATAGAAAAAAACCTGAGTTACTCAGACTTGGTTTAACTCTAGCCCAGAAGTAATTAATACCAAACCAAAAGCAAACATAAGCAGATATTTAATTAGATTGGCAGAAGCTTCCAATTCTGTTCAATAAACAAATTCAATTCAACTCAACCCATATATTAAGCATCTGGTATGTGCCAGACCCTCTTCTCGGTGTTGTGGATACAGCAGTAGACAAAAGTCAATCTCATTCTCAGGGAGAGAGACAGACAGTAAATAAGCGAACTCATATTGTATAATATGATGGGTGATTTTGAGCACTATGAAGAAAAGCAAAACAGGTAAGGGTAATTGATTGTGTGTGTGTGTTTGTGTGTGTGTGAGAGAGAAGGAGATCGAGAGAGAGAGAGAGAGAGAAGAGAAGAGAGAGAGAGGGGGAGGGAGTGGGGAGAGAGAGAGATTTTATAAGAGTGATGGAGAAG